CCCTCTGGTTACTAATATGCGCCGGGTTAATGCAGGGGGAGCTCCGCTTAGGTAGGAAGGTGATTAATTAATTTTAAGTGGGGATTAGAGGAATGATTAATTGGGTTTGATTTAGCTTTTCAATTATTGACGTTTGTTGGTTGGGATTGTTCTTTCACGACTAATCCTATCTCCTTTTCATATATATATTTGAATATATTTTTTAATATAATAAAATATTATTTAATATTATGAACCCAAAAAAAGTGATTAACAATTTTAACAGCATTTTATGTTTGATTAGAGCTTTAATTAAAAGTGATTTTGAAGGCATATTTTACCTTGTGTGGCCGACCCTGTGCTAACGTGCGCTTACGAGTAGCTCTTACTTCATTTAAAGCTGTGTGTGGAATTTTCATCACTTTAGTACAAGTAGAAAATTATATAATATCTCATATCTATGTATTACTTATAATGACAGGCATTGCTCTTTGGGATTTATTAGAATAACAAGATTTATTTTATAAATAGGAAATTTAATTTTATTAAACTCTTTAGGATAATGGTTCTTTAGATGTGATCTCTATCATATATAACTTTTTAAATATTTAAAAAATTTTAGAATTCATGAGTAATTAAATTTCGTACAATCAATTATGTGTCTGGTTGGCTTTAAGGCCACGTATGCATGTCTTGCTCATCTGCTATCATTTAACCTAACTAAAACGCAACAGCCTGTTATTCTTTTTATTTTCACGTGAAGAAAAAAAGTTATTATTATTATTATTATTATTATCATTATTATTTATTTTTAGAAACAGATTTCCTTTTGGAAATCTTAACCAACCCGCATCGGATGTGGATCGGGATGGCTGCGGTCCGCCCGGGCTTGCAAGATTTTATGATCTCGCGGTGCACGAAATACGAAGCATTGGGCTAGACGCCGACCGCAGTGTCTGCCTCTGTTTTTCTTCTCGCTTGTTGTTCACTTCACTCACCTCAAGTGTAATTACTACTTTATTTTAGATATTTAAGGAAAATTTTAAAAAAAGGAACACATGTTATACGAAAAATAATATAACCAGATATTTTAATTGTTATTTGAGTGATTTCCGGCTCTCATATGCTTGTCCATACTCAATATATCAAAATTTATCGAAGTTCAATTTTCTTTTTCCAACCGTGCCAAATATGTCTATATTAAAAACGAAAAAAAGTCGAGTTTCGAAAGTCTCATCGGCTAAGCACTTCCATTTACATTTATATAATTCATATATCATGAATTTATGTTTTTAATTTAAAAAATATACTTTTAAAATAAAATAAAACTTTTATTTATAAATTTAATAGGATCCCTATTATTTTAGAACATTCAATTGTGAAATTGAGAGGTAGTATTGTCATTGGCTTTGGTTTGTCTATGTACAACAATCTTGTTGTACTAACTTTTTAATTCATAGAAGAAATTGGTTTGAATTTATCTCAATTTTTTGTAGTTCTAATAAGATTTTAAGTTAATAGAGTATTAGATAAATTTTAATATTATTTGTTAGAGATTTATATTTTTAATATAAAAAATATATACTCATTATAGAAAAAAGAAATTTATATATTAATTTAAAAGTATCTCATTTACTAATAATATGAGTTCCATGAGATGTAAATATAGAAAATCAAACAAAAGAGATTAATTATCCTTGAAGATATAGACAAAGAAAAAGAAAGCGTGTAAGGAAACCAAATGCCAACCATGCCATGTCGCTATCCATTCAAAATAGGAAACCAGATACTAATCTTTTTCATTTTTTCTGGTCCTCACTCCTTAAAAAAATAAAAAAAAATAGACGTTGAATCAAATTAAAAGCAATTAATCTCTATGAACCACGTGAATACATAAGTCTAATTATTATACTCACTTGGTTATTCTTATCAAGATCATTAAATTAATATAAGAGTGGAATTTCTTAACATTGGGAAAGCTTAAACTAATTTTTAGTTATAGACTTAATGAATTAGAGAAATAAAATATGCAAAAACAATAGGCTAAGAAATGGACTGTAAGTTAATTATGATATTGTGGATATGTTTTCGTCACGTCAATTCTCTAGCCACAACTTTGGCTTGGTCATCTCTTTGGATGGACTGTCTCTCATCTTGAAATAACGACAAACAATAATTGGAAAAACAGAAGGAAAAGGTGGGGTTGTTCTGCTACGCTCGGCCGCTTCACATTGTTGTGAGCAGCAACTGACCAAGACTTGACTTTGAGCATGGAACGTGCATTTAGTCATCCAATTAGTAATTGACACGAAATGGACTTAGGGGTATTTCGGTCCCTTCGTTTGCGCAAGCTGGCGGTTGCGGGAACTCAATGATGATATAAATGATCGCATCGGAGTCCGTTGTTCTTTCTGTTCATATTTCCCCGAGTGGTCTGTCGCCCCAACTCTACACCTATAAAAAGCTGGGAAAAAAAAAATTCAAACTTGCATTATTATTTTATTTGATTTTATTTATTTAATTTTTTGTCCATAGATTGAATCGAATTCTCTGCAATTCCTACCTTTCCTGAAGTGTAGGGATTAGGAGAAAAGCTTAATCGTTGCTTGGAAATTCGAGTGTAAAGGTAAGGAAGCTAGAATGTGGGGATTTGGGGGGAGATATTATTGGGGAAGAAAGGAAAGGGTGGAAAGAAGGGAAGGAGGGATAGTGGTGGTGTTTGCTTGGATGTCGAGTCAAGAGAAGCACTTGAAGAACTACTTACAGCTTTACGCTTCCTTGGGTTGGGATTCTCTCGTTTGCCATTCAGAGTTCCTAAACATGTATGCTCTTTTAGATAATTTTCGGCGGCGGATTTACTTTTATTTGATTCTTTGTTGTATAGTTATTATGTTGGTTGGTGATGCTTTTTGACTTTCTGTAGTACCTGATCTTCACTGCTGTAAATTGGTTCTTGCTTGATCGTGGGAATTAGAATACTGGACCTGGTTTTTTTTTTTTTTTTTAAGCTTGATCTTGAATTTCTATGATGATTTCATTTGATTACAAAGGAATAGGTTATGCAAATTTCATTCGTTGAAAGTTGAGAATTACTGGTAAGAATGGCTGCGTATTTTCAAATGGCTTCGGTTGATTCGTTTGGCCTGAAATTGACTCATGGATGTGCATCTGCTTAACGTGATTGTCTTTGGAGTTGGATTTTGATGTGTGCAATCTGTGTAGGTTCTGCCCTGAGAAGGCTGCAGCTCTAGCGTTAGATCTTCTGAAGGAACTTGTTGAGGTAATTAAATTTGCTCGATCAATATATTCGAAGGGAAAGCTGCCTTTCAAATGGTTTCCCTGAACACAAACTCGGGCTTTGGCTCAAATGTTTTGGAATGTGTTAGATTCTAGATTGGGGCATACTCTCTGATGGAAAGAGGAGATTGCTATCAATGCTCTCAAGTTTCCCCCATGAGTCAATCTTCAGTCATCCTGTAGTTTGAAATTTTATGCTTTGGTACATTGAGGGGATTGTTCTCTTATTTTTTACTTTTGTATGTAGGAGCTGAAGATGAAGCCATGCCCTGTGGTCTTTGCATCTTTTTCTGGTGGTCCTAAGGCCTGCATGTACAAGGTTCTTCAGGTAATTCTTTCAAACCTTTGAAAACCCCATTTTTTTTTACCTCATATGTTGAAATACTTGTTTCCATTTGTTTCTCTGATGATGTATTTTTATGATTTCTTTTCTGCAGATGATTGACGGATTGTGTGAAGCACCAGGAAATCCAGTAAGTTATCTCTCTATCAATATGATAACTGCTTAAATCTTGTTTTTGTATATCCAATATTATTCCTTACCGTTTCTGGAGAGGTAAACACATTTGTCTGTTGTTAATCACACTATTACTACATCAAGACTGGAAATCATTGTTTGTGTTTTCCCGTAAGACATGAAAATCAACTTATTATTAGTATAATGGCCTTTGGGCATAAATGTTTACTTGAGGAATAATCACTGTGGTTTATTAACATTATTACAGACATTTAAGTTCTACTTGTCCAATTAATCTTCTTTTACGTCTGGTGAAGGATGACCTCCAGTTGGTGAAGGAATGCTTTTCGGGCCATATTTACGATTCTAGCCCTGTCGATTTCACTAGTGATTTGGGTGCCCGATTTGTTGTTCACCCAACAGTTCTCAAAATGTCTCATCCACCAAGAATAGCATCATGGATAGCAAATCAAATCTCTTCTGGTCTTGATGCTCTCTTCCTCAGCAGGTTTGAATCCCAGCGTGCCGAGTATTGGCAGACTTTATATGCCTCTGTGGTAAGTGTACAATAAATTATCTCATTTAAGTTATTACTTCCATACTTTTGTTTACAGTTTACTCATTGCCAATCTTATGCAGAGAATGGGGGCCCCATATCTCATTTTATGCTCTGAAACTGATGATCTTGCTCCTTACCAAATTATCTGCAATTTTGCTCAAAGAATAGAACAACTCGGGGGTGACATAAAACTTGTGAAGTGGAATGGTTCTCCTCATGTAGGTCAGGTTCTAAACTTATGAGTAGTTGCCTCTATTAAAAGTTGGCCATACCATATATAATGTGTTAATCTGGGTTTCATAGTGGCGTAATAACATATTGAAACTGAAAGATGAGGGATGGGACTGTGGGGGCCTACAATTCATTCATGCTCAAGCATGCACACATGCTGCAGCCACCATCTTTTTCTGTTTCATAAACATTATGAAGCATATGATCTTTGCTTACACTAAATCCAGATGGCATTGACAATTTGGTGTCTTTCCTTCAATAATGCTTAGACAAGAAACCTTCCGGAAGGAACAAGTGTTTGTGTCATACATTTGGAAGAAACATGTTTTGGTATAAGACTCATGTTATGTGCGTGCATAAAAAAGGTTGTATACTTATTGTCTTAAACATAAGCCTATATGATTCAGTAGTAGAGTAAAACTGACAGAAAATAAGAATGAGAGGACAAAGGGATCAAAGATAGGAAGAGGATATAATTAATAGAGAAATTCAAAGCCTATACCGGTTTCTAAATAGTCAAAGCCCCCTTGATTTGAAAATAACTACGCATTTATAGACTACTGCATAGTGCTTGGTGGCAAAATGATAGAAATGACCTAGTAACTTTTTAAAAGAATATAGATGTAAAGTTTATGAATGGAGTCCATAAAATAAATCCCCAAATAATATAACTCTTCTGTTTGGATCACTATTAATTTTTTATACTTGAACATGATTAATTCTGAAAGCATATTCAGGCAAATAATGTTGACATGTTCAACTCTTTTCAATTTCTGGTCTTTACAGGTCATTATCGGCATTATCCAATTGAATACAAGGCTGCTGTGACTGAGCTTCTCAGGAAAGCGGCTGCCTCATATTCCCAAAGAATTCAGCGACTTGAGGGTGAACGAATGGGGTTAGCAGGGACACATGATGAAATCTCTGAGCCAATCTCCAATATCAGCAAAACAGTCTTAAGCCCAAACCAGAGCTTTCAGGGAACTCTGGTGCAAAGGGACCATTTCCTCTTGCCTAGTTCAATAGACTATTATGAGGGTAGGGATTTCGGGTCTGTGCAAGATGAACACAAGGAAGGCTTGATCCGTTTGCCTCACCCACCAAGCATTAATGTCCATGGGGTTCTTGGTCAAATCCTTTTTGATGTCTGTGTTCCCCAGAATGTTGAAGGTTGGGATATAAAGTCATCAGATTCCTCGAGCAGACACCCTTATACCTCTGCATGGCGAAATTCTCATTTTAATCCAATCAAATGCATTCGTCGATCCAGACTATAACATATGTGGCTGACTACTCTTAGCAGAGGCTTGCGAGAGTTCAGTGGGGAAATACCTTCAAACCGGTGCCCTTGGCAAAATGAAACTCCTAAAGGAATGAGAAAGGGCAATAGATGGGGATGGAGAGGTGATTTTCTGTTTTGTAGAAACAATAAAGATCACTGCCACAATTTGAGCTCATGACCTCTGTTCTAACATAAAATGTATAGTGACTTTACCGGAAATGCTCTAACTTGATGTGTTGTTGGAAATAAGACAACTGTGTTTGATTATGTATCTGCTGACTTGCCAGGGTCATGAATCTAGATTACCGGGAATGAGGAGTTCGTTTGCAGGCTCAATGAGATGCACTTGTTACCCTCCAATGGATACTCATGCTAGAGAAAAATCCTGGCAAGGAATAGGTGCTCTAACACTAACCCAATGTTTGTGTATCTCTACTTTCTTATATTACTATTTTGGTTAGTTCAAATGCACTGACTATTTAGTATTATCACCCAAAAAATGGTTTGAAGAGATTTGATCATAGAACTAGGGAATCCAAATAGTAATATTTGAATCCCCAGTTTTCCATCTCATATATCTGTATTATTTCTTTGTCTCCCCCCAAAAGAGATATTTATTAGTTTAAATAATAATAATAATAATATAAATAATATACTTATACAAGAAATATATTCAATAATACAGCACGCTCCATTTCCTTTCTACTCTTTCACTGGGGAGGATGGAGGAAGCCGTATTAAAAACTCTTGATACGCAAATCCTTGTGGATTTTGACTTAGAAGCGAGAAGAATATGAAGATACTGGTGACAGGCGCGTCGGGTTATCTAGGAGGAAGGCTGTGCCACGCTCTGGTGAGCCGCGGCCACTCCGTCCGGGCCTTGGTCCGTCGTACCAGCGACCTCTCTGGGCTTCCTTCACCCACCCATGGCGCCTCTTTGGAACTCGCATACGGCGAAGTCACCGATTACCGATCCCTTCTAGATGCCTGCTCCGGCTGCGACGTCATATTCCACGCTGCTGCCCTCGTCGAACCTTGGCTTCCCGATCCTTCTAGAATCTTCTCCGTAAGCTTAAACTAATTTTTCTCTCCTCACTTAAAACTATTCTATTTTCAAGTACACTGGTGACATGTCGTAGTCAAATTATTTAAGGTCAACGTTGGTGGTCTGAAGAACTTGCTGCAAGCAGCTAAGGAGACAAAGACGATCAATAAGATCATTTATACGTCGTCGTTCTTCGCTGTTGGTCCTACCGATGGATATATTGCCGATGAGAATCAAGTAGTAAATGGAAAACATTTAATCACTCTGATTACAAAAGAAATCAATGAATGAAAATTGTTTCTGATTTTCTAAATTCTGATGGACAGATTCATCCGGAGAAGTTCTTCTGCACGGAGTACGAGAAATCAAAGGCGGCTGCAGATAAGATAGCTCTGCAGGCTGCAGCAGAAGGGATGCCAATTGTTCCGGTTTACCCTGGTGTAATTTATGGTCCTGGCAAGCTTACCACGGGCAATGTTGTTGCTAAATTAGTAAGATTTCTTTCAAACTTGTCTTCTTTTGTAGGTTTAATGGCAATGCGGTTGTTGTATTAGTAACTGAAAATATTGAATTGTGCTTTCAGATAATTGAGCGGTTTAATTGGAGATTACCTGGTTACATTGGCAGGGGAAATGATAAGTTTTCCTTCTGTCATGTCGACGATGTAGTAGAGGGTCATATTGCAGTAATGGAGAAGGGTCGACCAGGGGAAAGATATTTACTCACAGGAGAAAATGCATCATTCAGGCATGTTTTTGATTTAGCTGCCATTATCACTGGAACTGGTAGGCCTAAATTCAACATCCCTCTAGGTCTGATTGAAGCTTATGGATGGGTTTCTGTTCTTATTGCTCGAATTACAGAAAAGCTTCCTCTCATTAGTCCCCCGGTGTGGCTCTGCTCTTTCCCACTATCTTCTTAATAGTTTGTCTTTGCTCTTCATATTCTTAGTTTTGCTTGTATACGCTTTTTTCACAAGAATCCTTTATGCAGACTGTGAACGTTCTACGACACCAGTGGGCATATACTTGTGACAAGGCGAAATTGGAGTTGGATTACAGGCCTAGAAGCTTGAAAGATGGGCTAGAAGAAATGCTCCCCTGGTTGAAGAGCTTGGGCAAGATAAGATACTAAAAACCGATTAAGGCCGAGAACAGTATGTGATGGAATGCTGAGACAAACCTGTGTTCCGTTCGTTGTTTGATGCCGTGTAGAAGTAGAGCATCAGCTGGTAATGGCGTCAATAAGAAACTGGCTCACTTTCTTTGAGTTAATGAATAAAGTACCATTGATGTACAATGCTTGCTTTTGTAATTCGATAAGATCAGATTTATATCATAATGAAATACGAAAGCTAAATTAGTTATGTCGAAAATCTATCTCAACACGTTTAAACCTTTAATTCGGTGAAGCCAGCCAGATAATCATTTCAAGCTGCAAAACATTGTCACAGAGAGAGAAGGATAAAATTGTCAAACTGTCTTTCATTTCAAAATTTGATTTTGAAATTTGATTGAACCGGCGCTTTGGTCGAGGAAAAAGAGCGAACCCATTGAAATCAAAATGAGTGGGAACCCAACGGTCGAGAGGGTAATTTGTAGTCACTGCGCCATTTCCCATCCCCCAAACGCCTTTTTCTCTATTGGAACTCCTCTCGACGAACATGGTGGAAGCCCGGCAGGAGTTGTCGTACGAGGAATGCCGCCGAAAACGAGTGGAAGAAAACAAGAAAAGAATGGAGGCTCTCAATCTCCCCCAGCTCTCTCAAGCTCTTCGTACCCCATCCTTCAAACCCTCTCCGGTTTGATCTCTTCTGCAATTTATACACCGATATTTGAACTCTCTACTATTCTGAAGCTTACTGTCCTTAGTTTCTTTGTTTATTCCCCGATCCGCAGAGAAAACAGGTGCAGCCTCGGACGGTCGAAAAACAATTGGTTGTGGTTAGGAGATCGAGTCGTGTCGCTAACAAACCCGCCTCTGTTTACCATGAAGTGAGTGATTTCGTTATTTCCGTTTAATTGTTTTAACTAAGTGAAAAAGAAGACTTGACTTTTATTTTGCTTTGTTGTTTTGTTCAAAGGTTCTTGTGGAAAAGGTGAGCATACCTAGAAGAAGGTATGCTGGTTGGGACATTTTTGATTGTTTGATTTAGTTAGTCTATAGCCTTAAGTAGTATCGTTGGTAAATGTAGGGTATCTAAGCAGAGGGATTTGTCAAACCGGGTGTATGCTTCGGATGAAGCCAGGGCTGAGGCTTTGGAGAAAGCAGAAAAATTGGAATCTGGTCTAGAGCCTGATTTTCCTACCTTCACAAAGTCGATGCTTCAATCACATGTTACTGGTGGATTTTGGCTGGTTTGTCTATCAATCTAACTTAATGGTTTATTTTGCTTTTTGTCGTTGTTTGTTTTCTCTATAGATGGCAGCTAAGCATTGTAGATTTACAGTGGCTCATGACTTCACTGTTAATACATGATTTTGAAAGAAGTTTGGACTTTTGGCCCTCCTCCACAGGCCAACTCTTGTGACTAGAGCAGTTTTTTTTTTCTTGTTCCTCAAGACTGGGTTTTGAAAACAAAATTATGTTAACGGTATCAAGATTTGGTAGATTGCATTTAGTTGGTATTTCGTTCTCTAATGAGTTGCTTCTACATTCAATGCTACATTCTTCTTATTCCAGTTACCTATAATGGGTTTTGGATCGTGTAACTTTGATGATCTCATTGCTGATCCAATGTTTAAAACCTGATCTCCTGTTATACTTTTAGAACGTAATAAGAATCCTATGTTAGTCCGGTAAACCATGTGGTATTGGTTGGAAACTAGAAACTCTGAAAAATTTTCTTATATCTATTCATAAAGTTAGTAGTCAGCTGAATTGGTTTGTGATTACCACATAGGATTTAAGATTGATCATTGCTGTTGGTATTGATGATATCTGTATGTTTTCACCACAAAATAAACTGGTTCTTTTTTAATTAGATTGTACAAGACTTGAACTCCTCATTATTGTAGATTTAATATGACACTCATCAGTTGGTCTTAAGAAAGAAAAAAGGAAGGAAAACGAAAAAGAAGAGGGCAAAAGGCATCTTTTCCTTTGCATTTTAGGGATTGTGTTAATTTATTTGCTCAAGTAATGGTTGGTTATTATTTTATGAAATATGAGGACAGGGCCTTCCAGTCCACTTCTGCAAGAGAAACCTTCCAAAACGTGATGAGGTTATGACCTTGATAGATGAAGAAGGTCAAGAGCATCCAGCAATATATTTGGCTAGAAAAACAGGACTTAGTGGTGGATGGAAAGGGTTTGCGGTTGCTCATGAGTTGGTAGATGGGGATGCATTAGTTTTTCAGTTAGTTCGACCTACAACATTTAAGGTGATTGCACATAATATTCTTCTTCTTCCTCCTATGGTTGTGATTGATTTGTTTAATTGTGAAGTATGGTTTGTATTTACAGTAGACTATCCCTTTCTGATGTTGTTGGCGTTCAAATTGCTTTGACAAATTAAGGAGTCGCCAATGAAATGTGTGTGGATGTACTATGCGTTTTGATAACCCCTTACCAATTCTACTTTGCCTCTCCAGTAACACAAAAGATCTATTTTTTTGCTTTAAATTTTAAGCCCATGGTCTATGTGTTTGGTAATCCTACAAGAAACAACAAAGGCAATTCTCAAAGAACTTAAATAGATAAAAAACATAAAAATTTACGTGGTTCAACCATTTCTTTTTTTTTTTTTAAAAAAAGGTAACTATTACTTATGTTGATTGAGTGAAACAGTTCTTATATTATTTAAAATTAAAATACAATAAAACATCTCTCCTTGATTTACCGAACCAATCCAAATACCCCATATACACCTTCTCTTGATAGCCTCACAAGAACACTCACTTACATCCACTCTACCTCCACCAAGAGTAAAAAGATAGAGTTATAAGGCTTTTATTCAAAGCACTATACAACTTCTAAAGCTTAAAGAAACACTTCTACGGTAAAAAGTTCAAAGGAAAATAAGATTACGACTCGACGCCGGAATGAGCTTCTCTAGGGCATTATTGCAGTGACATAAATTGTTACTGTTATGCTTTGATGTTTTCAATAGTCATGCTCACTCTTTTTCTGTTTTTTGTAGGTTTACATTTTAAGGGTGAAAGGTTCTGAACAACGCAACAAGTTGTAAGCTTCGAACAATTTGGATGTTGGAGTCATGGCAGCAGAGTCAAATTTGGGTAATCACTTTGGATGAATATCTGCTAAAGTTGTATAATCATTGATGTTTCTTAATATCTTGAGTTTTATTAATGCTAGTTAGGTGATGATTAGCATCAAATATTCAACACTTATTATCTAATTAGAGTACCTGCAATAGAATCTTGATAAGGACATCCATTTTGGAATCCTCTGCTTTTTCTTAAAACTAGCAAAATGTGCAATTTGTTGCATACTTTGTTAGTCTTCTGGGGTTGGGACCTACTTGAACTCCAGTCTTGGCCTCTAAAGTTCACAGGAATGAGAGATTCACCTTGTCTCTCACTCTATTGACATTTTAAGTATGGCACATGGTTTGCATACTCATAAAATCTGAGAGAAAACTCAAAAGTCCTTACGCTATTATCTTTTTCATGGACAAGAAACCATGGTTCTTGAAACTTCCATTTCAAACTTCAACTAAGCTTGTTTAACAAGAGATTGTAAGACAAGCTGGATAAGGCTGAGATTGCGGTCTGAACTTTGATGACAAGAGTAGCTGGAGCAAGAATATGCTGACTTAAAACCAGGGTAGACACATTCAGTGCTGTCAATAATCTCTTATCTGTTGTTTTGCATCTACTCTGAAAGCCTTCCAATCGAATGTTCCCACTGTTATTTCTTTATAACTAATAAGCATTGGATTCACTTGTTCAATTTGACTGACTCTAACTTTGATCACCCTTTTGCACTAAATTATGTTTTATATATTATATTAATGTCCATGTTGCAGGTAAACAGGTTCAAGGAATCTGCCATTATTTTGCTTAAAGTTTTGTCAAACCATGTGGTTGAGAAAAATACTTGCCCTTGTCCATAGATTTTTCTTAACCCCAGGACCTGCAACAGATTTATCTAGTCCAACTTAAACTAATTTATTAACTATAAGTTATTATTGCAGATAAATCAATCAATAATTGATGCTACCAGCTTATGTTTTCTTATCTTGTTTTAATATTTTGGACATGGTCATGGCAGGTTTAATCCAATCAATACTTGTTGGCAGGGTTTCTCTCTGATACGAAGCATTCCCACATCTCACTTTAATTCCCTGTTTTTCCTGGATTCTGGAAATAACTTGACCACCAATCTCATACTCACTTCTTTGTCTCCTTTTTTCTTTTTATTATTATTGTAATTCGATGTGGGTGAGCTGTGTTTTTGTTGATTGCAAACACATGTTTGGGCAAAACATAAGGAAAGCTGGCCCCCCCCTTCCTTTTCCACCCTTTCCAGCTTGCAAAGTGCAAATAAATAGAACAGGCTCTCTCTCTCTCTCTTAGCCTACCTTACTCCTTGGTTTCCCACAAATCCCCCAACAAGACAATATTGTCTTTGACATGACCCTCGTATTTATCTCACGCGGAGTTCTCTTAGTAACCACCATTTTGGCTCCAACTCCTAATCCCTTCACGCGCTTTTGCTCATCCGTCCTCAAGCCCAGAGTATATTAGAGTACGATTGAAAGTTATTTAAGTATTCACGTCGTTTTCAAAAAACACGTTGAGTGCAGGATCGTGATAATTAACTATTTTAAAGATTCATGGTTATCCGCGCGTGAATGGATTAAGAGTTATCTACGCGTGGGATTTGGGAGGAGTCTGATAAGAGGAGGGGATAAATGGCGCCGAGAATTTCGCGATCGTCCAGATGGAGGTCAAAGGATTAGGTTGGCAAAGACAAGAGAAATTTGGTGCCTAAATTAACTGAGCCCATTCGGCTATAGGCCTTGACTGGCCCACACCAAGTGCACAACTACGTGACATTAACCGGCGAAACATACAATTTTCTTTTATATTTATTTTTTTGCATGCTTCCCACGTCCCGTAAGGAGTACGAGAATTGACAAATTGACTTGGTCCCTTGATAATTTTTGGCTATCGTGCGCCTACGCGTCGTTTTGCTTAACCGGCGCCAGCGAACCCTGTCTTAATTGGTCCCATCCAATCGTTCGGCTTCGTTTTATTGTTATAATAATAATATTTTAAAGGAAGAAAAAAAGGGGGGTATATGGGGTAAACGAGTGGCCCACGAATATATCTCGTTGTGGGCCAGAGTTCTCAAAAGTACCTTTCGTTATGATCTTTTGGTTCTTAATCATCCCTAATCGGACGGTCTAAAAATCCCCGCGTAGCCCGATGATTGGGCCCAAAGGTCAAATGGAGCATATAAGTGAAAAACTCAACGGCTTGAAAACGGCTTTTTCTCTCTCTTTTTCTTCTTCTTTGGTGCAGCCGAGTGAAGTTAGAAAGCGCGCCGTTTTTGCCACGTCGGATGTTAAAAGGGCCAAAACCAAGAAGAAAGCTGCTTCATTTCCGCATTGTAAAAGCAGTGTGGTTTTTCTTTTCTCTCTCTATTCTCAAAAGAGCTTCAATCGACAAATAGAATGGAATTCTTGCAGGACGCAGGGATCCGCGTTTCTCGATCGCAGCGACGAATCCAATTCATCGCTTCGTAGTCTCATTCTCTTCGCCCGTAATCTCCTTCCGCTTGCTATCGACCGATTTCTCTTCCTCCTCTTTCCCTTTCTCTTTCTTCACACTGTAATTTCCTCTTTCTCTTTCTCTTTGGATGTGTGTGTGTATATGTTTTCCTCTTCTCATTCGCATTTCTCTTCCCGCATCGGATTCGTTTTTTTTGTTATGATGAACAGATTTGTAGGAATATTTCTAATGTGTTCTTGACTACATTGATGAACAGATTTGTAGGAATAATTCTAACGTGTTCTTGACTACATTGACTCAGATTCATTTCTTTTTAGTTTTTAAGATTTTATGTAAAATCTGATCGTTCAAAAGTTATATGAATTAGATTCTCTAATTGTTTCTTATTTATGGAGGATCTAGATGATTTTGCCGTTGTCATTGCCGTCTAATCTGTTGAATATATATAAAAGAAAAGATGATCAAAGTCAATTCAATTCTTTGTTTTGTTTTTTTTTTTTTTTGTGATGAGATTTGGTCATTGAAATCTGCATTGTGTATCTCTCAGGATTGTTTAGTGTAATTCATGGAGAGTTAGAGGCGTTGATTTGGGAGGAGGATTTGTAGCTACTGGTATCGTGTTTGGATTTGGAAAATTCTTAACAATGTCCTTGAGAGGCGAACATCACACGGTGCCGTTGTCGGTCTTACTGAAACGAGAATTGGCAAATGAAAAGATCGAAAAGCCGGAGATTGTACATGGACAAGCGAGCCAAAGCAAGAAAGGCGAAGACTTTACATTGCTTAAAACAGAATGCCAAAGAGCGATTGGAGATGGTGTCACCACATTCTCAGTTTTCGCGGTATAAATTTTTTAATCTCATATGGTGCTAATCACATACTATATACTCGTGCTGACTCACCATTAATCTTTAATTTGCATTACTAAAATATAAGGATTTTGAACCTTTTATCCGTTAGGTATACTGGTGTAGTTACAATTTGTTAGCTTTCACAGTTTCAAGCTAGTATACTTGTCATTTTCTATTTGCTTTTGGAAATCTTTGGAAAGATTATTTTTTGAAGGGGTGCATCCTTGATGTTCTTTATTGTTTCCTTCTTTGATAGGTTTGTCTTGCTAAACCTTTTCTATTTTTTTGCAGCTCTTTGATGGACACAATGGGTCTGCTGCTGCTATTTATACTAAGGAGAATCTCCTCAATAATGTCCTAAATGCTATTCCAACTGATCTTAATAGAGATGAATGGGTTGCTGCACTGCCAAGGGCTCTGGTTGCAGGCTTTGTTAAAACAGATAAAGAATTTCAAGAGAGAGGTATGAGTTGTTTTGTTTTTTTGTTAACATATCTGAGTATAGCATATATCTTGTAGGATAACCTTTGGACAGAAAAGGACTATTTGTCCATATATAAATTTTAATTTTGTTAGAACTGTGCGCTTACTTTTGGAGTAGATGTTACTATTTATGCAAATTGCATCTCTTTTATGCACTCATCTAACGTAGCACATACGCTTGTATGCATGTAGACTGAGTACTGTTTCGTTCAACTAACTGTTTTATATTCTCGTATCCTTTTATTGGTGCATTTTGCTTTCTCTGAGGCCCGTGTATGATATGGAGTTTTACTGATTTATTATTAAGAACCTCCATGGAGAAACATGCTCATTTGTAGAAAGTATTGCATTTGGAAGTTGTTGGATATTGTTTTGTGATAGTTGATTAGCACCGTGTGCGGTTATTCAGGTGGTAAGGGCCTAAGGGGGATGGATTTTTGGTTGTGGATGCTATGTTGGAGCTGTGTTGCTTCATCTTCTATGGCTGATTAGTATATGTTTATTTATAGATCAGCTTGTCCAATATACATATGATCTTATTCATGGAAGATCTATAGTTTATGACTATTGTCTTAGTAGTTAACTAATAGTGCTTGAGATGTCAACTTGAAAGTGGTGTGGATATAGTCAAGTTGGCACCACCGATCAGCATCCAGCTTGGGTAATTTACCACCTAAACCAACATATACACAATATTTTTCCTGCTCTTTTTTGGTGGGTATTACTTTGGCATATAAGTTCATGTACATAAGCAGTAATTTCTTCCACGCATGGGGTGGGATAAAGAAGCAAAAACATTTTTCTAAGTGGATACTTCTTTCTTTTAATTTTTAAGTTTAGGTCATCTTTTCTTCTTGAATTTCCTCTCACATGTTTTGTCTTTGACATAAATGTTATGGTTTTCTTTCCAGCACAAACATCAGGAACGACTGTAACCTTTGTGATAATAGAGGGATGGGTTATAACAGTCGCATCTGTTGGTGATTCCCGTTGTATACTTGAATCAGCGGAAGGTGAAATATATTACTTGTCAGCTGATCATAGGCTTGAATGCAATGAAGAGGAGTAAGTTATTGATAAAGTGTTTGCTGTAAAATTTTCCCTATTATCGAGGTCTTACTTTCTCTTTTCATCTTATTAGGAGGGATCGAATCACTGCAAGTGGGGGGGAGGTTGGTCGGCTAAATACTGGTGGTGGTGCAGAGGTATCTCCTCTTCCATTACAGTTGTGCATCTCGTTGTTTTTGAGTGCTTTAACAAATTATCTCTTGAACCTTCACCTTTTCTTTTCCAGCAGTGAAACTTAACACCCTTAAGAGATATATTCCTGTGAATGGATGTCCAACCACAATACTTGGAAAACACAATAGAAGCTAGTTTCTGACATCAAATGGCTTTAGGACAAGTGTATAGAAAAGACATTAAAACTTAATTGATGTGAAATTAGAGGACTCTTTTTAAAAACTTACAATAATAGCTGTAACAAGTATAGTTAGCAACAACTTCTTTCTGTCTCTAGTTTGTTCATATACAGATTTGGTAAACATAATACTGATCTTCCTAAAAATGATGGTGAATTGGTTCTCCATAGAAAATTTGAGCATCTGTAGTCAAGGTGAAACTGTATCTGATTAATTGTGTGATCAAAGCTGGTGATCTAATGGTAAAGTTATTTTGTAGATTGGTCCTTTGAGATGTTGGCCTGGAGGCTTGTGTCTCTCACGATCCATTGGAGATATGGATGTTGGGGAGTACATTGTTCCTGTTCCATATGTAAAGCAAGTAAAGGTTTGTCTTTCATAATCTACCTGCACACTGTATTTGATATCTGTTAGTTGGCCTGCATTTGAGTTTTTCTCTTAAATTTGTTACTGAAATCAGTTTTCTTTGAAAAGGTTGGCAACTGTTTGACCATGCTAGTGTTTTTTTTCTGAAACTAGAAAACCTTTTCTATTGATTGCTAATTTGTTCTTGTTGTTAAAGTTATAATTTTCCTACTGCTTTATCTTTTGCAGTTATCTACAGCTGGTGGTAGGCTCATTATCTCAAGTGATGGTGTTTGGGATGCTTTATCCGCCGAAGTAGCTCTTGATTGTTGTCGCGGAATGCCAGCAGATGCTGCAGCTGCACAAATTGTGAAAGTACACTCCTGAATTACTTGTTGTTTATAATATACTCTTCAAGTATTGCTGCTGGGACAATATGCCCTTCCGGCTTTGCTATATTTTAGTATCAATTGTCTTTCTTCATGTCTCTTGACTCCTTAGTCTCCAATGAACAGGAAGCTTTGCAGGCGAAGGGTCTTCGAGATGATACAACCTGCATTGTTGTTGACATCTTACCACAAGAGAAGCCAGCTGTTCCTTTGCCACCACCAAAGAGGCCAGGAAAAGGAATGTTCAAGGCCATGTTTCGCAAGAAGCCTTCTGAATCATCTTCTCAAGTTGATAAAGAATACATGGAGCCAGATGTGGTGGAGGAATTATTTGAGGAAGGATCTGCTATGCTTTCAGAAAGGTTTGTGTTTATGAGGATCCTCATATGTTGAAATATGAAATTTGTACTTTGATTGTTATCATTTGACCCACACATCTTTAATTTCTAGCCATTATGTGGGGCATAGCTTGCTGTGAATGATGACAGGACACAGTAGTTTGTAGTTTTATTTCATGAGGAACACTTTTTTTGGATGCAGGTTGGACACAAAATACCCGCTGTGCAACATGTTTAAGCTGTTCATGTGTGCAGTCTGTCAATTAGAGATGAAACCTGGAGAAGGTATTTCAATTCATGCTGGTTCATCTAATGCGGTAAAGTTGCGTCCATGGGATGGTCCTTTCCTTTGCTCTAGTTGCCAGGAGAAGAAAGAAGCCATGGAAGGGAAAAGACCAACAGGAGGTAATGACAAAACTCCTTTGCTACCTCTCTCTTTCTTCATTGCTAATTTATGTTACTAAAAGTCTCCTTACTTTTTCTTGTTTGTCCTGTTTTTCAGATAGACATAGTAGTGAAAGTGACTAGCTATACCTCTCCAATTACCGTTGCGTTTTGTGGGTATTAACAATTGTTTTGGAGGTGGTCATATATGGGGAAGATGGTGTGCATTCCCGCTTTTGTAACTCCCTTCAATTCCTTATTGGGGGGCATTGAGCATTCTGGTCCATTTGCAACTGAGGATCCATTTGGATCTATAATCCAGGTCAGAAGATCAGAGTTGAAATGTGTGTTTAGGTTTCTGTTTTCTGGCTTCAGGGGTGAGAGAAGGCTTATGTTTGCTTCAACTGAAAATGGAAAAAGAAAAGATGAAAAAAATGAGAAAGATAGGCGGAAGGGCTTCATAGTCCCTGGTGCATAAGTGGCATGCCTAAGAGGTAATTCATTTTTCCATCTGTGTTCATCCCATTGTATACCAGTCGCTCCAATTCATAGAGCTAACACTAAATGATAGTGGACTTAGGTGTAATGTTATAATATATAGGGAGTTTGATGAGTACTCTAATACACATTTGTCAGAAACTAGGAAGAAAAAACACTTGCGTGATCAGCTTGCTGAATGAAATTTGTTCATGTATCATTGTTCATTGAAATTTGTTCCTTCCTTTGATAAGTCGGAAGGCAATCCCTGGAATAGAAAAATTTGCAATTCCTTTATTATTTCTTAACTAGAACCTTATTTCTCAAGAACATTGTGATTCTGTATTCATAGCTGTAGTTGGTTAATCTTTAGGCCATACAGACGTGATTAGATTATGTGTATATATATGTTTTTGATCTTTTATGGCTCCTAGTATCTGGATCTTGCCATGTCCGAGGGTCGAGATCTTGAGCACGGGTGTGTTCATGTATCACTGTTGGGACCAGCTTCGTTGTGGGGACGAGTCGACACGGCTTGGCTGGTGGATGTTGACTCCAGTCAAGATACATGTGAACTCGCTATCCACGCCCTCTGTACCATTCAAGTTCCATCTTTAAGAAGGAAAGTGTCCCAACTTCTTTCCTCATCATTCACAGCCTGAGTTTAGAAACCAAATAAATAAATAAATAAACAAAATTCAAAGAGAAACAATGAGGAGTTTTGAGAATAATAATAATAAAAAAAAAATTGTGCGTACAGCTAAAATCCATAGGCACACAGAGAGGGGAAAATGTTGGCTTTTCTCCTAGTTGACTGGTTCTGTCTTTGGAGGAGAAAGTAAATGAGAGATTTGAGTGGCCAGCGGCAAAAGCAGAAAAAGGGGAAGCTTCCCCACCCAAAGGATGTTATATTGGTTCTGAAGGTGAAATCTTTGTTTTATGCCCTGTTTTCTTCTCACCCCACGCCCCCCGCTCCCTTCTTATCTTTAGAGAGAGATAGAATTAAGATTTTGAGTGGCGAAGATGAGTCAGTGCACCAAAATAATGCCTCCATGATTGAGATGTTGACCTTAACTAGATGCACAAAATTCCTCCATGGGCAGTCTATGCTGGAAAGGACCACTTTGTACACGTGTGCGTGGGTCTACCAGCTCACCTAACTGTGAAAGTTTTTTTGCTTCCATCCTTCATTCCCCCATCTTTCTGATTACGCCACATTCAACACCCTCCGATCTTCATCCTAAGTCTATATTCTTAAATTGACTGATGAATAAAAACCTTTGCACCCGCGCTGGCTGGGGGTCGTCATCTCCACCCCCTACAATGAAACTCATTTGCATTTACACGGAGCCTTGGAGCCACACTACACTGCCTTCTGAATTCAACTCTGAACTGTAGGAAATGTTTCCATTGATGGCAGGATTATGACGCCAGTCCCGTCTCATTTCTTAGATCAAAAATCAGCTTAAAATATTGAAAGTGGTATGTCAAATCGGGTCCATTCACAGAGAAAATTTGTATAAATGCATATGATTAAGAAAAAGGGGAAAAGAAGAATGTGAAATTCAAATTAGTTGAACCATGACTTTAAACATTAAAGACTAGAAATGACATCATATCCTTGTCAAGATGAGAGCATGTCTGAATCCTCGTTTCACACAATATGCAAAGTAAAAGAAACTTTCCCATACTAGCCTGCGTGCAAAAAGAGGCAATGGGTTATTCCTGGTAGTGGTAACAATGAGAGGATAAAAGGGTTTTGTTCTGTGTTGTATATTCCAATCCCAACTTTCTAAGATTCCTCTTGAAAATGGATGCACATCTTTCTGGGTGTATGTGAATACGATTTTTAACTTTTTTTTGTTGTTGGACCTCGGCCTTGTCATCGGCAGAACAACTCACATACAGAGACACATACCCAAGAATAAAAGAGTTTTCTTTTGCTTTGCCATTCCATCTGCCTGTTGTGGGCAAATTTGGATGTTTGTGATCTAAATTTCCTTTTGATCAACAGTTCAGAAGCTGTTGGATTTGACAAGGACCCACCAACCCTTTTGACACATACTGCTAAATGTATCATCTAATCTCCACAGTGCCAATGGCCACCACATCCTTTCTCTTATTGTAGAATAATGCAAAAAAGTAAGCAAATTTATGTCGCATTTTGAACAAAAGACACGTTAAGCCCAACTGCAGTTTGACAACAGTCTCTCGCTCCTCTCTCTCTCCCCCACTGACTCCTAATCTCCTCATCCCCCTCCCCACTCTCTCTCTCAAAAAGTTTTGGTAATCCATAAACAAACCAAACCAAACCAAGGGAAAGGAAAAGAAGAAGAAGAAGAAGAAGGAGAAGAAAGAGGATTTCAGATACTGAATCGGATCTTGTTTGCGTTTGGGGGTAGCTTAATTACAATCATGGATACCTATCAGCAGCGAAAGACCAGGGAGAAAGTTGTAGACAGGAAGCATGAAGAAGGCAAGTTAAAACAGGAAACAAAAGAAGGCTCAGCAGATAAGCAGCAACAACCATCGGCATCCCCTGCTTCACCTCCTTCAGCATCTTCCTCTCCTTCTCATGAATTCTCCTTCACAATCTCTCTCCACTCTTCCTCCAATACAGTCCCTGACAAAACGAAAACCCCACCTTCAATTGCAATCGATTTGTCTCCAGCAGATGACATTTTCTTTCATGGTCACTTGCTCCTCTCCACCTCCTTTCTCACCTTCCAGTGTCTCCGCGTTCCTCTACAAATTCATTGGACAACTTCACCCTTCCCGTAGAGAGTTGTTAGATGACCACAAACCTGATAAAACTAGCAGCAATCGTAGCAAAAGCGACAGCAATATCAGAACAACATCAACAGCAACAAGAACCATGACAAAGTTAGTAACCGTCGTCAAAGCAACGACATTGAAGGAAAAGGAAGAAGCAAGTCCAAGTCTTTCTCTATATTCAGTTTAACAAGATGGCAGAAAGGGCGTGACGTTACAGAAACACAAGAAAAAGAGAAGCACAATAAGAAAAAGATGAGATTCGACGTAAGCCGTGTATTAAAGAGGTACGTGAGGATGGTTCGGCCTTTATTGTTCTTCAGAGGGAGGAGAGACAATCTCCATCTCCGTCGGCAGGCTTATTCATTTTCAGGTAACTTGAGTTTGAGAAACAAGCAAGAGTTGAGAGGAAGAAGAGGAGAATATTCAGCGCCCGCTTCAATGAGGACATCTCCTACAAATAGTGGCCTCCTTGTTGCAACCACAGGTTTTCCTTCTTCTATAGTGACAGCACCATGGAAGAGTTGCAGGCTGCAATTCAAGCTGCAATTGCTCATTGCAAGAATTCCATTGGAGAAGACAAACTCAAATGCTAGGCTTGGTTTTCATTTTTCCACCCATATTTATTCAATTTCTATAAGTTAAATTACCTTTTGATCTTCTCTTCCTTTTTTACTACATAGTTATATTTATGTTTTCCTGTGTATAAAAAATGGTACATATAAAGGAGTATGAAATTAGCCATGGGAAAGAACAATTAAGATTTGTTTAATATCCGATGCTCTACTTTCTTGCCTTTGCGTTGCAGACTTTGCCATGGTTTGGGGCCAAGGAAGTTTTAACATTTGAATGTCAAAGATTTGAGGATTCAAAAATCTGTTCACATGATTCATTAGTTGCATTATATTTCTAATAATGGCAGTTGTTCATTTCCAGTATGTTACATGTTACTAATAATAGAGCATTATATATCAATAACTTGTATGATTATTTTATTGTTAACCTATGCTTTGTTTCTAATGAAGGGTCACAATTTTTTTTCAGTAAAAGGGTGAACACATCATCACTAATCTTACCATTTGTATCATTGGTTCTTAATCCTTGAAAAATTTTCTTTTCTTTAGCATTTTCCAATGAATCAAACAGTGTTGACAAGAGCCCACAGGAAAAAAAGGTGAAGTTGAGTATCTGCAAGTAGGGGAAGAGTAAAGCTAAAAAGAACACAGTGACTTTTAAATCCGCAGTCCCTACAAAAAAAAAGGCAAATCAAAAGGCAACAAAACCCATTCCTGGCCGTAGGTGCCATAAAAAGAAGTGGTGTCATAGGGGGCTTCATAAGAGTTGTGGGACTCATGACTTGACATCTTTCGGATTTCCACAAAAAAGTACCAAGTACAACAAATTACTGATGCTATCAACAATGTTGGAAGCTTAATATCGAAAGACATGGATTCATTTTTGAGTGCTACGGATTTACAAATTAAAAACCATGATAATGATGAGGACGATGATAGATTGTAATGATGGCTGCAATTGACTGAGTGTTTCTTCTTTTCCAGGGGTCATCTTTATATAATTGTATGTATCCCACCAGGTGATGAAACCGCACTGATACATATGCAAAGTGCTTTCCTTGTTGTTTACTTACCATCACGCCTAAGGTACCCACAGTCTATAAAAGCAGAAAGAGGGAGCTAAACAGCAGAAGATCTTCCAGGAAGAGAAGATACTCTTTTTGGAGCATGTGTGCATGAGTTTACAAGCATGCATGCATTGCTGAAATTAGTTAACTATATTTTATGGCCCAGGCTTACATTCAGGATGATTATCTGAAATCATGGAATTGACCACCTGGGTATTTCCCTTTTTCTCTAACAGCAAGAGAGAAAGCCCCACAAAAAGGTGATGGCTGCGGGGCTCAAGAAACTCTGATGATTGGGATTCTAAATGGTCATGATGTGCCACGGCCAAAGCAATGTACCTTGTTTTCCTGAGCACACAACAACCAAGAGAAGTTGCAGAAATAGAACAAATCAGAAATTTCCTTGGTTATTTCATGTTAATTCTCCAGAAGTAAGTTGCTATAACATTGTATTAGAAGGCTTTAATTTGAGACAATAGCATGTTATTTTTTTTTTGTTGAACAGAAGAAAATACAGAATTCAATGAACATGAAACAAATAAGAGCAAAGGAGTGCACCTGATTGGTGGTGGTACAATCTCCCATCAATTATAAGGGAACGGAAAGAGACATTGAGATCGCTGTGATCATATGACTTGTCTATTTCATTGGACCATCAGGAAAAATCTGCATCTTCAAAATCTTTACAAACAGTGTCAGAGAAAATTTCAGGAAGATTTCGGTTCTTTAACCAATGAATTCTTTCTCATTTGTTTTTTTTATTTATTTTCTCTTGCTTTTCTAACACCTCTTCTTTCCTTCTTTCTTGCATTCTGATCTTCTAAAGGGTGAAAACAGATTTTTTCATTGTGTGTTTGTGCTTCCCTTGAAGTTCTCAGAAAGAGATAAATACATTAGAAGAAATGAGAACTTAATTTCTAACACAGCAGTTGGCATAAAGTTCCAAAAAAAAAGGGGGGGGAGTGGGGGTAGGATGCATTTCACCATTTGATTAAACATCTAGTATAATTGCAAGGCCTACACATCAGGATAATAACAAGTAGCTATCAACCACAGATTTGAAAAACTGATCAGTTGAAGCACAAGATATCCCAAAAAGCCACAACAATCCAAAGCTCCATCTGTGGTTGACAATGTTGGCATGAAAGTTAGGGCCTAGACTACTTACCATCTGTAGGCAAAGATATCATCTGATTAGATAATGCTATCTTGATTTACTCTGTCTTGGAATTTAGAGGGCAGATTATATACTATATCACCTACTGGTGAAAGTTCCATACATTTTCTTCAGCTTTCGTTGCATTCGAGCTGTCTACCTAGACTCACAGCTATATGTTTGTTGGGCTTATGTTTCAATTATACTGCTGCCAAGAAGCTTAAGGGACCCAACTTCCTATGAGCTAGGTTGGGCTATAGCCCATATATCTACAAGCCGTCTTCTTCTCCTTCTGCTTTAGTACTCCCACCATGACCATCAATCCAGAATCATTATGAACAAGTGATCAACTGAAAGTCATTTGCACATGCACTAGCAATTTACCTAACCGGAAGCAACAACTTGTCTACTCTTACGTACCAACAGTTAACAAAAATTCTCTGACAAGTTGATGGAATAAGACAATCCCGCCTAACAGCGTTTCATGCATAAATACCTTGCTTTCACATTTGTAGCTTAGCTGCCAAAATCCCAAACATTTATAATAGCCGCTCAATCAGATCTTAAACAACCTTATCCATCATTAATACTAGAAAATGGACCGAGTCAACATAAGCGTATTATAAAAGGAAAAGAGCTCTCACATTTACTTAGTTTTGCCAGCAATTTTTTGATCAGGTTTCTGCGTTGTCCAGTGTCCCACCAATCATTGAAAGGCTTTTGATCCATGGTATCCTGATGATTATCATCATCATTTCATGTAGTTTCATAATTAGACTTTCCAGTTTGCTCTTAATGCATAAGTTTCAATCCCGCAACCTTGGGAATTTCGGAAGCAAATTGTTTGGGAAATGGCTTAATCACTAGGCTGACTCTCGATAAAGTTATTCTATTGCAAAATGATAACATTAGAGTACAAATGGGCTTGGGTCATGGGTTAGACTTGGTCTAGGTTCTTTTTATCTACTTCCATGGGTGTATTTTTTTTCCTTTATTGTTCTGCACATGAACCAGCCCATCCTAGTTAGGGTACTTGCAAGAAGCATGAATCCATCCGGCCATAACTTCGAACTCTTCTAATGATCCAAGACCAAAGACACCTGACAACTTCACCGAATGTGTTAGGACATTAGCAATGTCCATTTTTTAACTAATACCAAAGGTACAACAGGAACAGACAAACTTATCCTGATTAATTGAAAGAGAATCGAAGGTGCCAACAACTATTGAACCAAGTTAGATACAGCACATCCTACTCTGTTTTGATTCCTAGTTAACCACGTTTATAAAACGATAGCTTGTATGGGGTTTGGTCTTAACAGCAAAAACCAATCTCTGTCCATGATCCCATACCTTGTTTTAACGTTTGGTATGCTGTGTTTTTTTCGTCCCACAAATAAAAGAAAAGAAACATGGTGTAACACTCTTACACCTAAGTCATATCTGTTGCTGACATGTCATCTCTTTTTTATCTCGCTCTCTCTCTCTCGACATTTCCGAAGTAAACACTAAAGACGATCTCTCTCTCTCTCTCTCTCTCTGTTGAGATCACGAAACCGTTGGTCTCTCTTGGCTGTTTCTCCCTTCCCTCCTCTCTCTCTCTCTCTAGCTCAAAGCCTTTCTCCTTTCCAAGTCTGTTTCATTTTCCGTTTAGATAAAGGTTTGATTTTTCTGTTCTAAGTTGGGTTTTATATATGTATACATGCCAATAGTTTCTGGGTACATTCCAATGCTTCAACACGAATATGCTTTAATTCTTTCAACTGCCATTCTTTTGTTAACGGTTGGTATTTTATTTGGTTTAATGGGTCACGTCTCTTTTCTTTTCTTTATCTGTTTTCTTTATTTTATTTGCGTTGAATTTACAACTGAGAACAAGAGAGTTTCTCAGCCGTTTTTCCTCTTGTTTGGTTTGATTAATGCTTTTCTTGTTTGTTTCTTATTTTTGTGTCATTGGTCATGGAACAATTCACAAATTTATCTTGTCTTTTTCTAAGTGGTGCGCATAACTATTTTCTCTTTTGATCATGTTTTGGAATTTGAGATTTTATCATCTGGGTGTTTGCAGAAGCTAAAACTCTAGGCTTTTCCATGGAGATTTCCAGAATCCCACTTGTCTAAGTCTATCTATCAAGATTTTGAATTATGATTGATTTTTCTAGTATCTGAGATCTGGGTGGTCTTAGAAATTTGAACGCAGGAGGATGTACGCTGTGGGGAGGCTAGGCAGCTATATCTCCCGCGGTGTCTATACAGTTTCTGGCCCCTTCCACCCTTTTGGTGGTGCTGTGGATATAATTGTAGTGGAGCAACCCGACGGGAGCTTCAAATCATCGCCTTGGTATGTTCGGTTTGGTAAATTTCAAGGGGTTTTAAAGACAAGGGAAAAGGTGGTTAGCATCAGTGTTAATGGCGTTGAAGCGAATTTCCACATGTTTCTTGATCATAAAGGGGAAGCATACTTTCTCAGGGAGGCAGATGTTGAAGAAGGGGAATCTGAATCTGTCTCATTTCCTTTTTCTTCTGGCGATGAGACGGATGAGCCGTCTTCTGGTAATAGGAGGCCAATGAAGTCCAAAAGTTGCAACTATGATGCTGATAAGTCGAACTCAGTGGGTGAAGTCGACGTGAGCAATGGGAAGGCTATGGCTAGGACTAGTTCTCGAAGGTCAAGGATTTTTGGGCTTGTTTTTGGAAGGAAGTCGACAAAGGAGGATAGTTACGAGGAGGTGGTAGGTGGGGCTGGTGTAATGAGGGTAGGTTCATTGGAGCGCGCTGAGATTGCTGCTGACCTGTTGGAGGTGAAGTGGTCTACCAATCTCGCCTCTAGTAGATCAAAGAATAATACTTCTCGATTTTATTCTACAAATGATACGTTGGACAGTAAAGGTGCTGAAGAGGATATGGAGATTAATGGTGAAGAAAACCAGTTTCACACTTCTGTACATGATAAGGAGGAAAATAGCATTGATCA